TTTGTCCAATGTTTCTCAATCTTGATACTCCAGTCGTCCCTTCTTATCTGTGGTTTCGGTTACCCACGGTCAACTGCGGTCCAAATACATTAAATGGAACATTCCAGAAATAAAGAATTCCGACGTTTTAAAGTGCGCACCATCCTGAGTAGCATGATGAAATCTTGTACCATCCAGCTCCATTCTGCCTGGGACATGAATCATCGCTGTGTACAGCACGTCTGTGCTGTATATGCCACCCACCCGTTAGCCACGTAGGAGCCATCTCAGTTACCGGATACATTGTCATAGAATGTTCAAGTAACTGTTATTTTACTTCATAGTGGCCCCAAAGTTCAAGAGCACTGTGCCTAATTTACAAATTAAACTTTATCATAGGCATGTAGAGGAATAAACGATATTCAGAACTATCTGTGGTTTCAGGAATCCACTGGGGGTCTTGGAATGTATCGCCAGCAGATAAGTGGGATCGACTGTATTGACATTTTGGGGCAGTACCATTCTTTGTCGTGGGAAGCTGTCTTATGTACTGTGAATGTTTACAGCACCCCTGGCTTCTACCTGGTAGATATCAGTACTACACCCTCACCGTCCCCAAGTTATAACAAATAAAATTTCCTCCAGACACGTCCAAATGCCTCCCGCCCGGGGGCAGATCATTTTCCTCTCAACCACTTGTCTAACCTGACTGACTTCTAAGGAACTTATGGTAGCCCCATGAATATGGACCACTGTCTAAGCACTCCCAAAATGGCATGAGAGTTTCACTGTATTTTGATTTCTGTTTCTCATGAAGTCCACTATTTTTTTTTTATTTTAATACAAGGGGGTAATTGTTCCATCTCTTGTCTTCTAGTCTTTTTTGTTTGTTAGGATTTCTTAAATCTCCAGGCACACCCAACCGCATGCAGTTTCCCTGATGCCAGGTTTCCTCTTCCTAGTTGAGTTTTGTCCTTTCCTGGGCATGCTCTTAATCACCAGCACCAATGAAGGCCATGCACTTGTCTTTCTAAATCAAACCTCAATTCTCCTAGGATGCCTTTTCCATCTAGGTGGAATTAAGTTCTTTCCTCTAAGCCTCATACCCTCTGCACAGCCTTCTACCAGGCCCCAACAACACATGATGCATATTTATGCGACTATCTCTCCAATTCCTTGAGGACAGGGACTGGGTCCTATTGATTTTCTGATTCTCAGCATAGAGTAGGCACCACAAGTGTAAAAGAACAAGGGAGTGAAGTATAGTTTGGGATAGGCCAGCAATTCCATCCATGGGGGCCTGGGTAGATTTCAAGCAACACTGAGCTCATTGACAGCCTCCTTACCAGCTTTCTTCTAGGAATGTTCTCTTTGCTGGTCTCCAGGAGGACAATCTTCACTCTCAAGAGATGGTAAATGCACCACAGGAGGTACCAGCTTTGTTTTTCTCTCTCTCAGCTATGAACATGACATCATTTGCTTTGTCAACTTGGTCTAGACTGCTCCTGCAAGTCTTCTCATTCCAAACATAAGGAGAAAAGTCCTTTTCCCTTGATCTCAGCATTTTTGCAAACCTCAGTTTATTCTGGTCTGTGTCATTTTTTTTTTAATCCTTGGAGTGCCCCCTCCTTTCCATGTTTTGGGAGGCCCTTCTGGACCTGAGTTTCTCATCTCTTTAAGTATTTCCTTCTTTTTATGTCATTTGGGGATTATTTTAAGCTTTAGGCACAGAGTTTAATTCTTGGGAATGCTTTGACTTTGCCAGAGCTGTCCAAGATGGTGGCAGTGGGTGGAGAGAAAGATACAGGTCAGAGAAACATTAACAAGGGGCAATTGACAAGACTTGGAGACCATCTGGACATGGAGGAGGGGGAGATGACTCCCAGATTTCTGTTTTGAGGCAACCGAATGACTGGTGGTTCCTGCTGCAGAGATGGAGGCCACAGGAGGAAGCAGAGGAGGAGGAGGAGGAGAAGGAGGGAGGTGAGGGTGTCTGGGAAGATGCTGAGCCTGGTCTGGGATGTTTAGAGTCTGAGGTTTCCATGGGAGACAAAATAGAGACGTAGGGGAGATAACTGGATATAAGAGCCTCATGCTCTGGGAAGGAAAAAGGCAGCTCGGGAGTCTGTTGGCATGCAGATGGCAGCTGAAGCTGAGGTAGTTGACAAGAGCACTCAGGGATGGTGTGCAGATGGAATAGCCATGGTTACACATGATGCAAGAAGAAAAGTTCTTGAAGGAGATGAAGAAGGAGTGGCCAGAGACAGAAAGGAGGAAAGCCAGAAAAGGAGCAAGCGCCAGAGGCCACTATAAAGAGAGTTTGGGACAGAAGGATGGCCAGCCACGTTAAATGATAGAGAGGGGGATTCCAATAAGGACAGAAAAGTGCCCACTGAATTAGCAACAGAGGATCACTGGAGACCACTGAGAGGACAGCTTTAGTGGCGTGAAGGGGGCTGGAGCCATATGCAGGGGTGGAAGAGGGAGTGGGAGGCGAGGGAATTGGGGGGCAGACATAGCATGATGGCTAAAGAGAGGTTCATTCATTCATCCACCCAAGCAAGAAGTAGGACACGGGGGCTCCTGTGTACCGGGTGCCACTCAGGGCCCTGGGATACAGCAGTGGGAAAACAGGCAGAACTTCCTGCCCTCAAGTTGTGTACTTTCTAGAGAGATATATTCTGAAGGGAGGACTCTTTTTAAAAGGTAGTTATTAGAATTATCGTTTGACTGCTGAGGGAAACAGGAGAAGTTAGATGGTAACTCGCTTAAGTTTATGCAGATGTCCAAGCTGTGGGCCATGCCTGACCTGCCGGATCCATTCCCCCCCCTCTTTTTTTTTTTCTTGAGATGGAGTTTCACTCTTGTTGCTCAGGCTGGAGTGCAATGAATGGCATGATCTCGGCTCACCGCAACCTCCGCCTCCCGGGTTCGAGAGATTCTCCTGCTGCAGCTTCCTGAGTAGCTGGGATTACAGGCATGTGCCACCATGCCTGGCTAATTTTTGTATTTTTAGTAGAGACAGGGTTTTTCCATGTTGGTCAGGCTGGTCTCTAACTCCTGACATCAGGTGATCCGCCCTCTTTGGCCTCCCGAAGTTCTGGGATTACAGGTGTGAGCCACCATGCCCGGCTGACCCATTCCTTTTTAGACTGCCTGAAGGGAATGGAGTTTAGGCATACAGAAGGCATAACAGGGTGGGGACGACTACAGGTGTGAGATGAAGAATTATTCATGTCTGGGTGGGCCTACTCAAAGCAAGGTGTCTACTTGGCCCCACATTGTTTAGCTCCAGCTGTACTTTATCTAGGATCCACTGTGTTAGGCATTGTGTCTGGGCTCAAGTCCCCTCCAATGTGAGTGACAGGTACTGAGACCCACATGTTCCCACTTGCTTCAGAGCCAGAGGCTTGAGAGACAAACTGTGGGAGACCCAGTGCCCCCTTTCCTGTGGGACTCTGATGCATATGGTTTGACTGGGGCTAAACCATCTCCACATCCCATTGTTGAGGCCAAGCACATTGATCCAAACAAGGTTCCATGGGATTAGATATAGAGGTGCTGGACAAAAAGAGGGTCTTTATCCTTTAGAGATGGTGAGCTTAGGGACCAGGTTGGGTGGCTCACAGCCATTTAGACCATCTGAAGAAAACGCCAAGTAGAGATGAACAGAACCAACAGATAAAGAGGGAGATCAGGCTCTATTTCATTTGAACTCCTGGATCCAGCTCTGCTCGAATCTACCAAGAACTATCTCAGACATCCTAATATCTTGAACGTTTTGGCACTTGCAACTGAAACAGTCTGACCAATACAGTTTGTCAGGATGTTATATGTGGCTGTGTGAAATATAGTATATTATTGACTTTTGCAGTTAACTGACTCTGGGGGCTTCTTCCACGGAGCCAGATGTGTTTGTCATTTTCTAGGTGTCAGTCCTACAGTGATTGATATGGTTTGGATTTGGCTCCCCACGCAAATCTCATGTCAAATTATAATCCCCATTGTTGGAAGAGGGGCCTGTTGGGAGGTGATTAGATCATGGGGGCGGATTTTCCCCTTGCTGTTCTTGTAACAGTGAGTTCTCATGAGATCTGGTTGTTCAAAAGTGTGTAGCACTTTTAAACAGTGTGTGACCAGGTGTGGTAGCTCAGACCTGTAATCCCAACACTTTGGGAGGCCATGACAGGTGGATCACTTGAGGTCAGGAGTTTGAGACCAACCTGGCCAACATGGTGAAACCCAGTCTCTACTAAAAATACAAAAATTAGCCGGGTGTGGTGGCACGCACCTGTAGTCCCAGCTACTCGGGAGGCTGAGGCATGAGAATCACTTTAACCTGGGAGGTGGAGGTTGCAGTGAGCCGAGATCAAGCTACTGCACTCCAGCCTGGGTGACAGAGTGAGGCTCTGTCTCAAAAACAAAATAAAATGTGTAGCACCTCCCCCTTCTCTCTCTTCCTCCTGCTTCAGCCGTGTAAGATGGGCCTGCTTCCCTTTTGCCTTCTGCCACAATTGTAAGTTTCCTGAGGCCTCCCCAGCCATGCTTCCTGTACAGCCTGTGGAACCATGAGCCAATTAAACCTCTTTTCTTTAAAATTACCCAGTTTCAGGTATTTCTTTATAGCAGTGTGAGAACGGACTAATAGAGTAATACAGAGGTAAGTAAGACATGGGCTTACAACAAGGCTGTGTAGATGATGGCAGCAACCCCTCACAAAAGAATTACAGTCAATAAAATGCTCTATATCCCTTTCTCGAGTCGCAATCATAGAGAATGATTAGTTAGCAATTCCAGGTAGGGTTTGGCAAGGATGGACCGAACTGGAGAGATGTACTGTGCACCAGGAGCTCCGAGGAAGGTGGGCTGGGAGGGGAGGGAGATGTACTGTGGGTTCTTTTTAACACTCTGTTCTGGGTGCCTGTGCTAAGGGGTTGACGGGGGACAGAGGGAGAGAGGAACAGGTAGTCTGAGGAATCTCTAGGTGTGTCCACTTTGAGTAGAAGGGCTGTTTCTCATACCTTTCCCATTCCAGCGTGGGCATGTCCCAGCTTGACCACCACCGGGAAGTGTGGGGCTGTGACCTGAAAGAGACAAGAAGAAGTCACTCTTAGCATCTCAGAGCATTGCCACCAAGGCTCTGGGTGCTGTTTGTTCCATAGAAAGATCCATTCATCTGATATGGTCAGAAATCCCCATAAGAATGCTTTGACAGGCCAGGCGTGGTGGCTCATGCCTGTAATCCCAGCACTTTGGGAGGCTGAGGCAGGCAGATCACGAGGTCAGGAGATCGAGACCATCCTGGCTAACACGGTGAAACCTCATCTCTACTAAAAGTACATAAATTAGCTGGGTGTGGTGGCAGGTGCCTGTAGTCCCAGTTACTCGGGAGCCTGAGGCAGCAGAATGGTGTGAACCCGGCAGGCGGAGCTTGCAGTGAGCTGAAATCTGAGATCGCACCACTGCATTCCAGCCTGGGTGACAGAGCGAGACCCCGTCTCAAAAAAAAAAAAAAAAAAGAAAAAAAGAAAAGAAATACTCTTATACAACTTTTTTTGTGCACATAATGTTTGTAAGATTCATGTACATGGATATGTATAACTCTGATTCATCTTCATTGCTGTATAGTATTCCATTTCATGATTACATTACCACTTTCCATTTCTTGTTGATGAACATTCAGGTGGTTTCTATTTTTCCAGTTATAAACAATATTACTACAAACTTTTTTTTTTTTTTTTTTTCACCAAAGGACTTTTGTTACCTGGCTGAATCATCACATCCAGCCAACCTATGCAGACCTTAGGCACCTCCAGCAGTCCAGGGACTGCCTGGATCACTAAGGGAGCTTCACTTTCATCTCATTTTAAGGTGGAGCTTGAGGTGAGGGGAAATGGGTTTTCTCTCTCTTCCCTTCTGTCCCCTCAAGTCTGATCATATGCTACCTTGGTGAGAACTGGAAAGGGCATGGTTGCGGGAGTGCCAGCAGTTCTGCCATTTACTCCCTATTTCATCTCAGGTTAGATATTTAACCTCTCTGAGCCTCAGTTTTCTAATCTGCAAAATGGGGATGATCATGCCTAACTCACAGGATTGTTTGGACAAGAAGAAATAAGGAATGTAAAACTGCTTAGCACCAAATGGTGCTGAAACCTAAAGTGCAAAGTAGAAGGGAGGGGAGGAAGGAATTGACTCTGGCTTTGTGGGGGTCGGGGAGAGGTAAAGGAAGACTAGATGATTAAGGAAGGAGAGAGAAGGCTCTGGCCTGGCAGCATCTGCTGACAACGGAGGGAATGAAATGAAATCAAACAAAGGAAAACCAGGAGATCACACCAGAGCACAGAGTCAGAGGGTGACAATAGGTTGGCGCTTTCAATGTGAAAGAACCTGATCAATTACCTTATGGAACCCTCATGCTACCGTGTTGTGGTAGGTGAAATTCTAGGAATAGCCTCGAAGGTATCACCCTGTGACCTCTGGTGCTTGTGAGTGTGATGAGACTGTCATATCATGTTATGTTATATGGCACAGGTGACCTTAAAATAAGGATGGGCCTCATCTGATCACATGGGCCTTTGAAAGCAAATAGCTTTCTCAGGCCGGTGGCAGAAGAGGAAGTCAGAGCGGTTGAAATCATGTAAAAGACTCAGTATACCATTGCTGCTTTGAGAGGAATGGGGACCATGTGTTTAGGTGTGTGGACTGTCTGCAGGAGCTGAAGGTGGCCCCTGGCTGAGAGCCAGTAAGAAAATGGGGACCTCGGCCGGGCGTGATGGCTCACGCCTGTAATACCAGCACTTTGGGAGGCCGAGGCGGGTGGATCATGAGGTCAGGAGATCGAGACCATCCTGGCTAACACAGTGAAACCCTGTCTCTACTAAAAATTAGCCGGACGTGGTGGCGGGCGCCTGTAGTCCCAGCTACTTGGGAGGCTGAGGCAGGAGAATGGCGTGAACCCGGGAGGCGGAGCTTGCAGTGAGCCGAGATCGCGCCACCGCACTCCAGCCTGGGTGACTGAGCAAGACTCCGTCTCAAAAAAAAAGAGAGAGAGAAAAAAAAATGCGGACCTCACACCTATGGTCACAAAAAGCGGAATCCTTCCAGTGATAAGAATGACCCTGGAGGAGAATCGAGCTCCAGAGGAGAATGCATCCTGATTTCAGCCTTGTGGGAGCCTCAGCAGAGAACCCCGTTGTACCATCCGGACTTCCAACCTACAGGACTGTGAGATGATAAGGCGGGAGGGGGAGGAGAGCAGTTCTTTTAATCTGCTAAGTTTGCAGTGATTTATTAGGGCAGCAATAGAAAACAAATACACATGTCTTTATAGAAACCAAAGTCCAAAGAGGGACGAGATTGTTTTTCAAGGCACACGAAGGCAGAACCGGAAGTCAAGTTTATGTGTCTTGACTCTCCGTCAAGCACTCTCTCTATCAAGGCACACTTTTCTGGGAATCACATGCATATCTGAGGTGTAAAAAATGCTTCCCCCCCATGATAGTGGTCAATAAAATAATATCAAATCAATTCTGTGGGCACGACTGAATGAGAACTATGTGACTTGTTCTGTTCTTGTGCTGGTTGGGGCACACCAAAGGTTGAGACAAGATTTCTGCCCTCAGAGGGTTTACTATCTGCTTGGACCCATGGGCTGTACAATGAAAGACCAGAGGGAGGCAGCATGGCAGGAAGGCGTGGGGTAGGTTGCGGTCATGTGCAAATCTCCAGAGCAGAGGTCCCAACATTTTTGGCACCAGGGACCAGTGTGCCACCATGCCCGGCTAATTTTTGTATTTTCAGTAGAGACAGGGTTTCACCATGTTGGCCAGGCTGGTCTCGAACTCCTGACCTCAAGTAATCCGCCTGCCTCAATCTAGAAAAATCTGAGAATGTTTAAGTAAGATATTTCACAGAAAACATTTCAGAATTCATCCAAAGCAATGGATTTTCCTGATACTAGGGGAAAATTTCCTTTGCCATTTTTTACTTTGACTTGTTGGAAACAGCATTCTTTTTAGAACCACGTATGGGCTGGCAAGACTCCGGGCTAGTGCTGCGGACACAGAAGAGGTAATTTGGGGCCAGATTATTGGGGGCCTTTGAAACCAAAGAGGGGAGTTCAGGTTGCTTGGATGGACAGTGGGGAAGCAGGATAGTTCTGGAACCAGGGAGTGACCTGCCAGTTATGGGCAGGATGGATTTGTGCTAAGGGTGACTGAAGGGCCAGGGGCCAGTTTGGAATTGATTGTAAAGACACTAAATACCACTGGTTGGGCTTGGACTGGGAAGAGATGGTAGAGGGAGTGGGAGCACTCCTGGAGCTTTTCTTTTCTTTTCTTTTTTTGTGACACTTCTTTATTGAAATAATAGTATTAAAATGACCATAGAAATTCAAGACAAAAATTGTCTACAATCTCATCATCTAACCAAATCAGTGTTTGTATTGGTGCACGTTACCTTGTAATTTTTATAGGTCCAATAAAACCCCCAGGATACTTTACTATTCAGGATAATTCTATTCGAGGTAGAATTTTGCATCTATCTTCTCACTTAATATTATACCATAAGTGTTTTCTTATTTTTGCTACAGATGTTTTTATTTTCTTTTATCATCCCCCACTCCCCTTCTCTGGACCAGGTAACTAATCTCACCTCCCCAGTGTGGCTGGGATGTAGTCCTCCCCATCTCTCACCACATGCAATCTTTGCAAACATGTATGCACGGATATGGCTGAGGCTGTCTGTATTTTTGAAAATAGCTCTTATCTCTTAACATCACACCATATATACCCTTCCTCCCATGTCAATAAAGATAGTCCTATCCCGATAGTTTTTGTTTTTGTTTTTGTTTCGTTCGTTTGTTTTTTGAGACAGAGTCTCGATCTGTCACCAGGCTGGAGTGCAGTGGTGCGATCTCAGCTCACTGCAAGCTCCAACTCCCTGGTTCAAGCGATTCTCCTGCCTCAGCCTCCTGAGTGGCTGGGATTACAGGCACCCACCACCATGCCAAGGTAATTTTTTTTGCATTTTTAGTAGAGATGGGGTTTCACTATGTTGGCCAGGATGGTCTTGATCTCCTGACCTTGTGATCTGCTTGCCTCGGCCTCCCAGAGTGCTGGGATTACAGGCGTGAGCCACCATGCTGGCCAATCCTGATAGTTTTAAGAATAGCTGCACCATCTACACATGTACACATACACTGGTTTCCTATTAATAGACATCTGTGTTATTCATTCTCTCTCTCTCTCTCTGCTACTATAAACAAGAGCTCATTAAACATTTTTGTACACATGTCCTTATGAGCAAGTGTTTTAATTCCTCCAGGCCAGGCCAGGAGATTTTTAAAGGGAGAACCAGCAGAATTTGCAGACATTCTTTTTTTTTTTTTTTTTTTGACGGAGTCTCGCTCTGTCGCCCAGGCTTCGGTTTCTAAAGTCAGTTGTTAGAGCTCAAGAAATGAAAGTGGATGCCACGGCATTGTGTATGGAGTGAATCACCCACCATATTACCTCCAGGCTAAAATGACTGTATTTACTGTCATGTAAGGGCCAGGAATGGGACCAGGCACTTTATGGATGGTAGCATCCTTTCCCTCCCCCATGTTATAGATAAGAAAACACAGCGCTGGCCGGGCGCGGTGGCTCACGCCTGTAATTCCAGCACTTTGGGAGGCCAAGGCGGGCGGATCGCAAGGTCAGGAGATCGAGACCATCCTGGTCAACACAGTGAAACCTCGTCTCTGCTAAAAATACAAAAAAATAAAAAAACAGCCGGGCGTGGTGGCGGGCGCCTGTAGTCCCAGCTACTTGAAGGCTGAGGCAGGAGAATAGCATGAACCTGGGAGGCGGAGCTTGCAGTGAGCTGAGATTGCACCACTGCACTTCAGCCTGGGTGACAGAGCAAGACTTGAAAGAAAGGAAGAAAGGAAGAAAGGTCAGGAGATCGAGACCATCCTGGTTAACACAGTGAAACCTCGTCTCTGCTAAAAATACAAAAAAATAAAAAAACAGCCGGGCGTGGTGGCGGGCGCCTGTAGTCCCAGCTACTCGGGAGGCTGAGGCAGGAGAATGGCGTGAACCTGGGA